TTGTGCCAAACAAGGGTCTTTCTTGTTCCAGAGGAGGAGAAGATAATTTTGGCCTCTATAAGTGCGTCAATCCAGCTCACAGATGTTCTTCGTCTCAGTCAGCCACGACACAGACTTGGTTTGGTGGTAATTGATTGACTTGAAGATTTAATAGAACACATAAACTTTGCATGTTAATTAGGCTTATTGTATAACTTCATTAATTTATCATACCAATACAAATACATATTCGCACCAGAACAGTTTTCGCCGTCACGCTAGATATTCGTGCACATGAGAAAAGGGGTAGTGGAGCTCTCAGTGTATTCTTAATGACGTTTTGATATACCTATATATATGACAATGATATACCTATTGAGGATTTGATTGAGACTATGGAACAGATGTATTACCGAACTGTTATCACTGACATAACTTCGTGCTAAAGGGTCCCCGACTTTACCTGAAGAGGTCCTTTTTATCCTGCCCATTCAAACTAACGTCTAACGATAGGTAGTGTAGCTACGCTAAGAGAGCATGTAAAAGTTGTTCAAATACGTCAACTTTGTCATTTTGTCATTCTTGCCCTGGGTTTGAGCCGGGCTGTGCCCAAAGGAGTTACGTCATTGATTGTAACTCGGAATAAGACTGTTATATATTTAGTGATTCATTCCATGGTTGCATGATCGGATATTTAATTCTTTCTCGATGTGCATACCGGCCTATATATATTTCTTGTATTTTTCAAATCTATGCTTAATTTAGTTTTTATTTATCTGCACGTATAACATATATTCGTTCACTGTCGCAGTTTTTTGAGCATGATAATTTTTAATGGTATGATTAAAATGTAAATAATTCTCTAGGTATTAGCTTAGTTTCTCTATTATTGTTTCTACAGCAGTTTGCGATATAATCTGACTAATTTGAGAAGTAATCCAAACTAAAATAAACGTCCGCAACAGACAGTACTTCCTCTCCTTTGTTTCGATCGTCGACGTGTTGTACAGCACTTCAGTCGATCATCGTGTAATTAAATTGCAAACAAAATAGCCGCGCAAAAGATGCCCCTAGTAGTGCCCCTTAGTAGTACCCATTTTTTGCCATCTGTAAATTTACATTAGGATGAGACCCCTGATGCATGTTACCCAAATTAGTTTTATGTTATATTCCTGAAAGTATTATTATAAGATTCTTCATGACTTAGATTCTTGCACTTCACTTGGTGGAATTAATATTAGAATGTTAGGGTTTGGAATCCAAGTGAGAATATATACATTTTAAGACCTAACCAGGAACGACTGCGAAAAATGCAGCACAAGGTCCTCTGGTAGGAATTGAACCTACGGCCCTGCGATTCCGGTGCAGCGCTCTAACCAACTGAGCTACAGAGGCCAGCTGTTAAGCTGTAACCATAAGTTCATGTATATATTCTCACTTGGATTCCAATATATACAAATGTATATACTCTCACTTGGATTCCAAACCCTAACATTCTAATATTAATTCCACCAAGTGAAGTGCAAGAATCTAAGTCATGAAGTCCACCTAATCACAACTCGCACACCCGATTACCTATATATACATGAACTTACGGTTACAGCTTAACAGCTGGCCTCTGTAGCTCAGTTGGTTAGAGCGCTGCACCGGAATCGCAGGGCCGTAGATTAAATTCCTACCAGAGGACCTTGTGCTGCATTTTTCGCAGTCGTTCCTGGTTAGGTCTTAAAATATATATATTCTCACTTGGATTCCAAACCCTAACATTCTAATATTAATTCCACCAAGTGAAGTGCAGAATCTAAGTCATGAAGTCCACCTTATCACAACCCGCACACCCGATTACCTATATATACATGAACTTACGGTTACAGCTTAACAGCTGGCCTCTGTAGCTCAGTTGGTTAGAGCCCTGCACCGGAATCGCTGGGCCGTAGGTTCAATTCCTTCCAGAGGACCTTGTGCTGCATTTTTCGCAGTCGTTGCTGGTTAGGTCTTAAAATGTATATATTCTCACTTGGATTCCAAACCCTAACATTCTAATTATAAAGTCATAGCAACTCAGAGCTCTTGGTCTTCTAAGTTTAATATTGGTCTTTATAATGAAGCTCTAGCAGAGTTATTTTACTGGAAAGAGCATATAAAGTTGTTGAATGTTCAGCACATATTCGCGTATACAACCCCAGCGGTTCTGGTTTCTTCAGACGCCAGTGATGTGGCCTGTTGTAGGTGTGATAGCTGGCATGCACTAGCCTGGTTTGCCATTGCATGTGGAATGAAGATCGGTCCAATCAGAGTTCTACATGGCGTGAATTAACAGCCATTCAATATTCACTTATTTCATTTAAAGAGTTGCTTGCAGGCAAGCCAGTTGTCTGTCATTCTGATAATCAAGCAGCTGTGCGGATAATTGAAATAGGGAGTCCTCACCTCGGGTTACAAAAAATTGCTCTTGAGATATTTTCTTTTTGTCATGAAAACAACATAACTCTTTCTCCAGAGTGGGTTCCTCGTAGCTTAAATATTGAAGCCGATATTATTAGCAAAAGTGTTGATTATGACGATTGGACAACAACACGTGAGATTTTCACCCATTGTGTGGGGGCCACACACAGTTGATCGGATTGCCAACCATAAAAATGCAAAGTTAGTGAGGTTTAATTCCAGTTATTTTGTTCCTGGTACGGAAACAGTTGATGCCCTTTCGGTGTCGTGGGCAGGGGAAAATAATTGGTTAGTTCCTCCCATCTATTGTGTGACTAAAGTTATTCAACATTTAGTTGCAAGTAAGGCTAACGGAACGTTAGTTGTGCCGTATTGGCCGTCCAGCCCATTTTGGCCTTTTCCTTTTATAAATCAGACCAGTGTTGTCAACCTTATGTAGTTGATTTGGTTGTGTTTCCCAGTTCTTTGGGTATTTTTGCTCTTGGCGATTATAAGGACTCGCTTATCGGATCGAACAAGTTTATGAGCGAAGTTTTAGCCGCAAGATTTCAGTTTTCATAAACGCGATATATAATAATAATAATAATAATGATTTAATAGCATTTCCACATAGTGGCTCTTCTATGCTACAAGTGAGTTTGATTATAAGATAACAAAGTATACAATACATACAACGGAGTACATAATACGACACAACAAGTATTACAATACGTAGTATGTTGTACATTACAGTATTTAACTATTGACATTACTTATACACAGTAAAATACAGTATAGTTATACACACAATGTCAACAGAGTTTACGACGTGTCACTAATTCTGTTTTTGACTAATGTTTTGAAGTACTCGGAGGAGGTTCTGCAATAATCTTTAAACGTATCGCAGTTTTGAATTTCTTCAGGTAAAGAGTTGAACACTCGAGCTGCTTCATCTTGGAAGGTTCCAGAGATAATAGGGACTACTAGACGCCGGGCAGATGATGATCGTAATGGTCTTATAGGAATATATTCCTCTAATTTTAAGTATGAAGGCCAGTCATCACAATTCATTGCTTTGTATGCTAATTTGGCAAGATGATAATTCCTACGTTGCAAAATTGGAAGCCAACCGAGAGACATGACATCAGTGAATCTAGCGTATCTATTAAATACAAAGCCAGCAGCAGCGAACTGCACTCGTTGTAAGCGTTTTAATAGGTATTCTGGTACTGGACTAGACACGACATCGTTGTAATCAATTTTTGATAGCACCAGACACTCCGCGAGTTGCTTCCGAATTTTAAATGGTGCCAAATGTTTCAATTTTCTCATGACGGATAATGTCGCGTAGCAACTTGAGATCTTTTTGTTTACATCATCATTCCATTTTAAATTTTGATGCAATGTACAGTGTGTATCAAAATAATTCGAATCCAAATTTGACAGACTGCTGTTTATAAAATACTAAAGTAAACCATATAATTTGTATATGGCAATAAAGAATAGCCAATTAGGTTTTCGATTATATCGTTCTTATATCAATAAGACCAAAAATGACCAAGAAATCGTGTGTTAAAACTGGTTGCTCGAAATCAAATTTTTCCGCCGATGGGAATTCGAAGTGAGACGTACAGACAAAAGATAATGCAAATTTAATTAATGAACAAACTGTTTTGTAGCAAAATTTACATAAATTCGTGTTCATTTAAAGAGATTTAAGCTCCTATGCCTTCAACATGTTGAACAAGAAGAAATTTGCGTTAAATTTGCATTTTAGTTTTCAGTGATGATTAGCATTTCAAAGCCTTGTGGGACTAACTTTGAAAGAAAAAATGTCCAATTCCCATCGGCGGAAAATTGTGATTTTTATGGACTTTTTTGTCAAAGCAATACTCCTTCATTTTCCAACTAAATGACGCGTACAACATGTCATTTGAAAGGTAAATAAATGAACTTAACAATGGTGTAAAAACCAACCGAATTTGTCAAATACATTTTGCGTTATTACACACCAAATTTGGATTCGAATTATTTTGATACACACTGTAGTACCAAGAAGAGCCGCACATTTAGTTCTTTTAAGTTCAATTCCATTAGCATGAAGATGAACAGAACGATCTTCATCAAGTTGGTGCACACGAGAGAGTTGACTAGTCGAGAAAAGCATGATTTTTGTCTTATTGGGGTTAAGAACAAGGTTATTAGAACTAGACCGGCCGGAAAGTTTATCCAGATTGGATTGAATTTTCTCTTCACCTGACTTTATGTCAGCTGGCTTACAATGTGCATAGATGGTAGTGTCCTCGGCATACTGATGTGAAGATATAGAGTCGTCAAGGTTTTCAGAGAGATCATTGACATATAGGTTGAAGAGTACAGGACCAAGTATAGACCCTTGTGGAACTCCAAAACAAACGTTAGTTGTGTTTGACACTGCGTCGTCTATTTGAACAAACTGTCGTCGGCCAGTCAGATGGCTTGTGACCCATTTGAGATACTCTTTGGAGAAACCTTGTGAATGGAGTTTTCTTAAGATGGTAGAATACGACACAGTATCGAACGCTTTCGAGAAATCTGCGAGAACAGCTATTGTGACTTCACCTCTTCATAGCTCGCTGAATATCATCTCGCATTGCCAACATAACTGTCGTAGTGTTGTGACCTTTGCGGTAAGCACTAATGGATTGATTAAGTACTCCAGTGGTTGTATTGGTTACGAAATCAGACATTTGGCGGAGAACGAGTCGTTCAAAGATTTTGGTTAGGCTTGGCAGAATGGAAATAGGACGGAGATCGTTATTCGATGATATGTTCTGAACTTTTGGAATGGCGCAGATACGAGCGATCTTCCAAGGTGAGGGGAATAGCTGCTTCGATATGCAGTTATTGATAATATGTGTCAGAGGTGAAGCAAGCTGCTCGGCTATCATTTTGATGTATTTGACAGGAATACCATCAGGACCACACGAGCAATCCGAGCGCAAATTCTTAATTTCATTCAAAACTTTTTGATAACTAACTTCTCGAAGGTGAAATGCATTAGTTGAATCATCTGGTAAGGAATTAATGAAAGACCACAAGTTTTGAGTTGGCTCAGGTATTGCACCAGTGACACGTTCAGTAGCAGAAGCAAAGTGGGTGTTCAATTCATCAGGATCAATTCGAAGAGGTTTAGGATTTGGATGAAGTATTCTGTGTATAATCTTCCACACCTTTTTTGGATTTTTGGACGAAAAAGCTCGTTGATAAAAATCACGCTTGGCGGATTTTATTTTAGTTTTGAGTTTATTTCTAACATCACGATAGCGCCGATTTGGAGATTTCATCGGCGTTGTTTTGACAAGACATTTCACGGACAACATGGCAGTCCTTTTGAAGTTGGGCTATGTCACAGTGTTTCATCCAAGGTGCAGGGGGACGTGAAATCTTAGTCCGTCTTAATGGCGCATGTTCGTCAAGACAATCACGGAATAAAGAGTTAAGCAAGTTAACTTGTGAGTCCGGGTCATCAACGGCGTATACAAGACTAAGTGGGATTTCATTAAAGCTTTTGGTAAATGAATCTATATTAAAATTACGTTCATTCCTGATCATCTTAAATCGTGGCACAAACCGAGGGACACGGACATTTAAGCAAAAGTATGGAGCGTCATGATCACTAATAAAAGGCGAAGGAAGAACATCACAGTGTGATACTTGTTGTTTCATGTTCGTAATTACATGATCAATTAATGTAGCTGAGTGTGGAGTCGTGCGTGTTGGTTTGGTCACGAGTTGATCTAAGTTCATTGATTCTAAGACATCATTATACTTTTTTGTGTCAGCTTTATCAGGACGAAGCAGATCGACGTTAAAGTCACCCGTAACAGCTAACATCCCATCCCACTGAATAGATAGATCACTCAGTAAATCGTTAAAGTACTCTAACCAGGTTGTATATGGTAAGATGGCATCAGATCGATATATTGTACCAAGCAGAAGCTTACTATACCGATTACGACCGGGAATTTCGATCCAGAGATGCTCCATTGTGGGATAACGTTTCTCGAGATCTTGTCTTCGTTTAAACTTAATTGATTCTTTGATGTAAATACCGACACCACCACCTCTTATCTTATCTCTGTTATTGAACGCGTGAACATAACCTGGAATTGTTACATGTTGAAGTAAAAGATTATTTTCTTTTAACCATGTCTCACTCATCGTGATTATGTCAAAGGCATAGCGTTCGAGACCATACTTCGGGTATTAATATGCATGATCTTGAGGTGTTGTACATGCTTATTAAGAATGTTAAGATGTGTATCGTTATCGTTGTCTGATGTTAGGGAGTTAACCGAGATTGTTTCAAGAATGTCATGACCATAGAAAGGCAACTTTGATAGAACACATTTATGGCATGTCCAGCATTGTGGTTGACTGGAATTTAGGTTGTTCGTATAGGCGACTCCGAGACAACTTGCGTGAATAAAATCTTTGCATACATCACATACAAATCTTTTTTGATTTTTCCGGACAGTTTTCTGACATTCTGTACAAATTGTAGAAAAGGATCGAGATGTTCTCTGTTTATTCTTTTGTTGAGAAGAGCTGTCAGAGTTTAATTCAATATCACCAACAGATAATAATAATTGAAAGGAGGCCATAGAATTTGGATAATAATGAATACGGCGGTGTAATCTTCGTGTGTAAAGACTGGAAGATTTCTTCTGAAAACGAGCTGTGGAATAAACTGGTGATAAATCATACCAAAGCGATTTATTGGACACAAACCGAGATGAAGCGAGAATATTTGAGGTTAAATCAATGACTTGAGATTGGATGTTATCCTGTTTTTCAGCACTTAAATTAAACTCACATGAATCCGATAGTTGTGAGATATATACAAACGCAAAAAGAACAGTAGGATTATAAAAGCAGTATTCACCATAACAACGATCTTGATTTACGGTGATTAAACATAAATAGCAACAAGTTGAGAATGTCAAGGCCTCGTTTTGGCTGAATTGGTGAAAAACCAGCAAGGATGAATAATCGAGGGAAATCCCCAATACCCACAGATAATTAAGTGTTTGATTTCAAGTGTCAAAGGTTATCAGTTTTTGCGTAAAATTGTTGCCAAGGAGCGCGACGCTAATCAGAATTCAAATTTAAAGATCCAACGGCCAAAATAATAAAAGTGTAATAAAAAACACAAACAGCACATCCAAATGACACCAAAATTAACACACGAAAGTAATAACAGAGTTTGTAGATCACGTAGTAAATTATATTCACAAGTAGACGCATATGATATAAAATCCAACTTCGTATGACACAATAATAATATACCACATATTCGAACAATCCAAAACAACTTTGCACTACGATACAAATCCAATTCCAAAAAGCAATTAATAGAAGAACGAGGTCTTTAGCTTCAATTTGATATAAACATTAACAAGAAAACTTAAAAATTATCTTGTTTATGAATGAAATAAAGCGGAGATAACTCAAGCGCAACTGGTCTACGTAACTTGATACAAACTCAAAATAACTAGATATATTGCAAATGCTAGAAAACTTATCTTGTGTGGAGCAAAGGCTGCCGATTGGCTTCTGGATAACTGTGTAGTTATTTTAGGGCAAGAGTTTGCCTTTTTAACCGAATGGTTGTATTTTTTAAATGAGGGTGGTTCTGAAGTCCAACCACTAGGCGATTGCTGAGAGCACCTATAGTTTGTGATATATTAGCTGATGGTAGTCAAGTGTACAGTGTCTCGTAATTTTTGTCATTACGGTTTACATGGAAGTTTTTCATTTTTCAGGTTTTGTTCAAGAGGCTTTAAGCAAGCAATATGAACAAGTACAAAATCCTGAGCTTAAACTGTTGTCTGAGTCGCTGCCAGAGTTTATTCAACATAGCAAGGCAAAGAATACACAAACTAAATATACTCGTAGGTTTGAGCGGTGGCGGATCTGGGCCTTCATATTTAATGAGGTCAATGTATTGCCAGCCTCTAGTATCTATATTACTTTATTTTTCTTACAATTAATACAAGATAGTGTGTCAACTAGTGTTATTGATGAGGCCCATTATGGCATTAAGTGGGTTCATGAAATATCTGGGTTTAAAGATCCATGTGATTCAGCTATTGTTCGGGCTATTGTTGCGGCTGCTAAAAGATTACTTAGTGTTCCTGTTAAAAAGAAAGAACCCGTTACACCAGAAATAATGTTATCATTGTTCGGGCGGTTTGGTGGTACGAACGCCAGTCTTTCTGATTTACGGGTACTTATGTTGTGCACGCTTGGTTATGCAGGATTTTTACGTTTTAGTGAGTTAATAGCCCTGCGTAGATGTGACGTTCAATTTGAGATCAATATTTATCGGGATGGTGCTTGGGTGGTTGTAGCTGCGACAACAAAGTCTACTTGTCCAGTCGCTTTGTGTAAGCGATATTTTGCATTGGCAAATTTCACTCCAAATTCTCAAGATTACCTATTTAGAGCACTCTCGACGTTTATGCCTAGTGCCGGTGCTTTTAAGTTTTGTAATTCATCTCCGTTGTCATACACAAGAGCTAGATAACAACTTGTCCTTACTGCTTTTGAGTCATTTGGGTTAGACAAGAAGAATTTTCGCTTGCACAGTTTACGAGCTGGAGGTGCTTCCGCTGCCCCAAATGCACACGTAAGTGATCGCCTGTTTAAAAGGCATGGCCGTTGGAAGTCGGAAAAGCTAACGACGGATATATAAAAGATAATGTGGAGTCGCTTCTTTCTGTTTCGAAGTCTTTGGGTATTTCGTTATAAATACAATGATGTGCATGACGTTATAGCCAACGCAACCCGTTCTATTATTCGCACGCTGTCGTGTGGACACACTTCTGTTAAAAAGCCTTGGTTACATAACTGGTGCATATATGCATATGATTAGGTATGGTTGAGTAGCGTGGTATATGGGTGTATATAATAAGCAATAGAAGGGATTAAAGTTATTCGCGTCCAACGTCTCTCAGCTGCGTGTTAAAAAAAACATTTAAGGGGAAATGAACACAGCGATAGTATTCAACCGTGTTTAGCTTCATATGGTGAATTTAATGTTATTCACTGTTATTCAGTTATTGCGTGTTTTTTTTTTTTGTTTTTTTTTTGTTTGTTGTAGGAATACATCATGGGTGCTGCACTTGTGTTTTTCTCAGGAAAGTATTTAAGAGACAATGTCCACTAAAACCTACCCTGGGTGCCAGAGGTTTTTCCACGCTCGCAACGCAAAAAAATATAGTGACGGACGGGCGAGCGGGAAAAACCTCTGGAACCATGCACGCTATCTCAGATCACGCCGATCCAATCAAAACGCTGGAATGGCCGTTTTCAGTCAGAATATCGGATGTAACTTTTGATTGGTGGAATACCGTGGAAATGGCAAAAACCTATCTAACGAGCATTCTTACTGGACAGTGAGCCTCTGCAGGTAAAATTTTCTCATCGTTCAGAAGTCGACCTCTGTTTACATTTGGCTGGGTAAAACTGTAAAATGCCTGTACTTTCGCGAGAGGATTTTTCTACTTGTGTAAATAATGTTTTAAAGAAATTTCCAGAAGTTTCCCAGCTTAATAACTATCAAGCTGAATGCTTATTCAATTTCATCGAACGGCGCGACGTCTTTGCCATGTTGCCAACCGGCTTTGGCAAATCTCTAATTTTTCAAATGGTGCCAGGTTTGTGTGAAGAGCTTCACCTTATGGGCTACAAGGCATTCCCTGCGAAGGCTATTGTGCTAGTACTGTGCCCGTTAGTTTCGTTAATGGAATCTCATGTGCGAGAATTGACGAAAAGAGGATTTACTTGTATTTGTTTATCGAAAGATGGCGCTACCAAAGAGAAACAAAATATTCATGATGGCAAGTATTCGTTCGTGTTTGCAAGCCCTGAGTCCGTTATACTGAATGACCAATGGCGTAAAATGCTTCAGACTAACATTTATCAGGAAAATCTGTTTGGAATTGTGACTGATGAGGCACATGTTATTCCTAAATGGTAGGTATGTAATTCTTCAGGGTGCGAGTTGCTTGCTCAGGCAGTAAAATACAAGTTGTACGTCTAGTCATTTCGTTTAAATTAAAAAACATTAATAATATTAATATAATAATATTACAAAATATCGTTGAAATACAATAATGAGCGCCCAGAATTTCAGAAGAGCTTATACCCAATGTATTTGTATGTATTTTTGACATTATTATTATTATCAGTATGTACGTATTTTTATATTATTTGTATGTATTTTTATATTATTATTTGTATGTATTTTTGATAGTATTATTTCAAATGTATATATCAGGTTGCCAAGCAAAGTGTTTACTAAAATATTCATCTCGCCTAGGCCTAGGGGAGATTTCTGAGTTTCTGTATCTGGTCGTCTTTCTGCGTTTCTGTATCATGTTAACAGTAAGACTCGCAGAGTACACAGAGTAACTCGCCTTGCTGGGTAACTTGCCTCCATATACAGTATTATAAAAAGGCTGACAAATTTACTATGCATAAAAAGCCTGCACGTGAAAGGACAATGGGCTATTCCATTTAATATCCGTAACACCCCCCCCCCCCCATCGATATGAGGACCTTGGAATTCTTCAGGAGTAAGGTAATTTTTAACTTTGGAATTCCTCATGGGTAAACAAATTCTCCTGTGAAATTCTTCAGGGGTTGGTTATTTTGAATGAGATTTCCTCAGGGGTCAGATGTAAAAAGTGAAATTCTTCAGGGTAAATACTTATTTCTTCAAGGGGTAAATGCTATTTAACAGGAATTTTTCAGGGGATATCTCTTTTATGTCAGGAATTCTTCAGGGATATTGTAAAACCCTTGTCCTCTATTAGGGGGTTACGTCTTTTAAATGGAATAGCCCAATGCTGACTCACTGGTTCATACAATAACCATATCATATCACAAACATAAATGCTAGTACCAATAAAATAATGCTCCTTTGAACTGTAGTAATTACAAATATGAAACACACTAAACTAAATTAGTGCTTTTTTTATTAACAGGGGTTATGGGAATACAAAAGAACGAATGATGGCTTTTCGTGAATGCTTCAGTCGCATAGGTGAGCTTCGCTCCCTTGTACCAGATATTACACCCATCCTTGCTCTTACAGCAACCGCTACCCAGAAAACAATGGAAATGGTAAAATCTGTGTTAAGTCTGAAAAGTGATAATTATACAGTAACAGTTAGTCCTAATCGAGCGAACATATACCTATATAAAGCAAAGGTAAACAATAGTTTGGGTGCATCATTTGGGTGGTTGATAGACATGTTGAAGAGTGAACACGTTCTGTGTCCAAAAGTAATTGTATACTGCAAGGCAGTCAAAGATTGTGGCAAATTATTTAACTTTTTTAAAGACTCTTTGCAAGAATTAGTGTATGTTCATGGCAAAGAGCATGTTGCAGAAAATATGATCATTGGTATGTTTCACCACAACACCCTTGATAAATATAAGGAAAGGATAATTAATTCCTTTTATGTTCCTGATGGGGTTTGCCGAGTTGCATTTGCAACAAATGCATTGGGCATGGGCATTAACTTTGCAGATGTTAGGTATGTTGTTCATTATGGCCCCCCTAGAAGTGTTGAAGATTTTGTCCAGGAAATTGGTCGTGCTGGTCGTGATGGTAAATCTTCCACATCTGTCCTTCTGTATCAAGGGAAACATCTGTGTAGATGTGAAAGAAAAGTGAAAGAATATGCAAAAAGCAACACCTGTTTGCGGTCAATTCTATTATCTGAATTTGGAGTTAGTAAGCCAGACAACATTACTGCCCATGATTGTTGTTTGGCTTGTCATAAAAAATGTTGCTGTGTTGAAGATGATTCTTTATGTAACAAGGATGTTCCCCTATTATTACACAAACTCCATACTCAAGGGATCAAGTCTGTAAATCCTGTCAAAAAGCGTAATGTTGGAAAGAATGATCTTTGCTTGCTTGAAGAGCTGTTAAGGGACTATCAGGAAGAACTAGCATCTGGGTGCCCATCGTTTTACTTGTCTCCAGAGTGCACAACAGGATTCAGTGACACTCTTGTTAAAGCAGTTTTTTCAAAAGCAAAATATATTTTTACTGTGGAATACATTTTAGAGAGTCTACCTGTTTTCAAATTTGAGCATGGAGTTGCAATTCTTCACATGGTAGCAGATGTTTTTGAGGACTTTGAAGTAAATATTGATCCTGCATATGAAAAGACTACAATTGATACCGATTTTAATTATGACTTAGAATATGGTGGTAACTATGGAGGTGAAGGAACATCAAGTGAATCTGATGAAACTGAGGATTCTGAAACTGATGTGTAATGCTAAATGATTGAATATGTTGCACTGTACATCGTTGCATGGTAAGTCTAAAAATTCCATTGGTAATATTGGTCCATATTACAGATTAAAGTAAAATAATTAACACTTATTTACTGTGGTAGTCTCCAAGAGAGAAATGTTCAGCATGTTTTATCATCATGAGACTTCCAATGTTTCCCAATTTGAACACCAGAAGTCAAGGGATCTCAAAATAAACCAGTTGCTTTCCCAAAGTCACATTGGGTAATTCCAGAAAACATCCATACCTTCCCCACAGAGGAAATTGGAAGTTATTCAATTTAAACCTCCTACCCCCTTCAGATGTCCTAATATTATACACTTACTATTTTCAGAGACAATTTTTTCTCCCTTCCGGACGGCAGAAATTTTCTCTGTGGGGGGAGTGTGGATCTTTGCCGGGACGACCCATTACAGTAAATAGGTATTAACCGGCCATTAAATACATTTTGCCTCAATGCAACTCATTAAGCTGTATTGCACCACCATTTATCATTTTACTCTATCCATGGCACATGATTGCACTTGAGGGTGCTGCCATTCAATGAGCTGAAATGGCCAATTTCTCACACACACAAACCCACCATTTCTTATTATAGTTATGGAAACAAGCAAATGAATTACACTGGTACTGAGAATACCTAATTGAAGAATATTGTAATGTTCTAACAACGTGTAGAGTGATTATGTACGTATCAAATTTTTGAATCAGAAGTTCAGTAGTATCAGAAAAGCAAATAAGCACAATTAGTTTAATTTTCTGATAGACTCCATCAATGAAATATATGATACATATAGATGCAAAAAATTTAATTTGTTTCATATGTATTGATGTTATTCACATATACAGTTTGTTTAGTGTTGTTTAGAGCTGTGCGGTTAACAGAAAGACTCGGTCAATCTGATAAATTTTTACAAGCAGAAGCTAGCTGGCACCAAACATGCACAAAAGAACTGTTATTTTTGGTTTTTCTTTTGTTATGTGTGTTAATTGCTCTGCATGTGTCAGAAAAATAAAACATCTGCTGAAGAAATATTTCATTTTCATGCTAAATGCAAACAAAGACATTTATTTCAGAATATATTTGGTTTTCTAGTCTGCCTCGTACTCAATGGAAATGTTTTCGGTTCATTTAATTAACATGCAATAAGTTGTTTATTTTGAATTGTTTTTCTTTTGATAATATTGAAACTGACACCGAACTGAGGTTCTTCCACCCGAAAAAGACCGCGTTGTTCAGAATTTTTCTGTCCTATTTCCCTCCCACATGTGCAACCAGGGACTTGGAGCAAGTGTGTTCTAAGACAATGTATAAACAACAAAATTTAAAAAGTGCATTTTGTCCATGGTTTAGCTGAGTAACACTGAAAATAGTTACACAGCTGGTGTATTATTCACCATTTTTTTATAA